CCGCTTCGCCTCGCCGCGGGTTGGGTTGAGTTGCCAGGCGGCCGGCCGCAGCCTTGCCGCCTTGACGCTCTGCCACGCCCAGAGCGCCGCGCCCCGCTTCGCCCCGCCAAGCCGAGCGTGGCCACCGCGAAACAGTCGTCTACTTTCCCCCAAACGCCCTGCCACTGCCACGTCGTCCTGCGGCTGCCTGCCTGCCTGGCTGGCTGGCCGGCGGACGCGGACACTAGCCCTTCTGTTTGGCGGCGTTGGCCGTTTTCTCGCGGAATGCCCCTCGGCCCGCGAGCGTGGCAGTGCCATGGCAGTGCCTTGCCGAGCCTCGCAGATGGGTTGCAGCACTGCTTCTGCTTCTCGGAAAGGATTCCCCGCAGAGAGAGCGCCGCGCGCCGAGCCCTGCGCTGCCCTGCCCTGCCCTGCGCTGCCCTGCCCTGCCCTGCCCTGCCCAGCGCGCGAGCGAAGCGATGCCAGCGCTCCAGGTGACGCCCCCCGCCCCCCGTTCCGGCCGCGCTAGACAAAGCGCGGCGCGAGGGGCTCAAGCCACGCTCTAGCTACGCTCTAGCGGCACTCAAGGCTGCGCCTGCACTGTTAATTGCGCGCAAATCGGTCCGCGGCACGGCCGGGCACGGCGTCCTGTTGGGAACCGCCACCGCTCCTTAGCGAGTACCTCGCTGTTCGCTTCATCGCTACCTGTGGCGTGGCCGGCGTGGCGCGGGGCCTCGGTGGTCAGAGCGGGGGCTTCACTCCCCGCCCCGCCCCCTGCTGCACGTTTCATGTGTTTCCTCGGGCGTAAGCGCAGCCGGGGCGGTGGGAGCCCCCACCAGGTGTCCCGACTCTAACGCGCGGCGCGAAAGGGTTGCTGCACGCAGCGCGGCCGCGGCCACCGCACCGCGCACCGCCGGGGCAACGAACGACTTAGCAAATCAAACTGCGAGGCGAGGCGCGCGACGTCCCCGCGATGCGGACGTGGAAACAAACCTTGGCGGCGCGGCACGGACGCGGCGGGGGGCCGGCAGGGCGGCAGGCCGGCAGGGCGGCAGGCCGGCAGGGCGATGCCGTCGTATCGAGTCCACCGAGCACATCCCGTACCGGCGAGGGCCCGGCCGGCGGCCGGCCTGTCCGGCGCAGCGAGCAGCCAACGAACAGTGAACAGCGAGCCGGGTGTTATTGTTCGGGGTCGAGCGCGACAGCGCGACGCGTCGCGTCGCCCGAGCGCGGGGCCGGCGACCTGGGCCTGCAGCACGGCACCGGCGGCCCACCGGCCCAAGGCGACGCGACGCGACGCGGAATGGACGCGGCGAGGGCGAGAACCCCCGAGGCCACGACGCGGTGCCACGACGCGGGGACCGTTACACTGTAACGCCGTATCGCCGCGACGAGGGCCTTGAGGGCCTTCAGGGCCCTGCGTGGCGTGGCGCGGCTCCGGGGACCGCTTTCACGTTCACGACGAGTATCGCCTGCTTCAGGATTGGCGGGGCTCGGCCCTGATAACGCGGCCAGGGGATCTTCCACTGGGCCGCCATGGCCGGGGCCGGGCCGGGGCCGCCCAGTACAGTTAGGCCCTAATCACTAGCAGGGCACGCCACTGTATCGGCATCGGCGCGGCCACGCGGCCACGCGGCCACGGACACCAGGCCAGGCCGCCTGCAGCCGAGCCGAGCACAGCCCGGGCCGCCAACAACAAGGGTTACAAACACGCCGTGTTTGGCCAGTCCAGTATCAACAGGTAGGAGGCAATGACACGGACAAGCGTCGCTATCTCGCCTCGGCGCAAGGCGCGCAAGGCGCAACGCCCTGCAACGCAATGTGCCATTCCAAAACGTCAAAGCTCGCCTCGCCGGCCGCCGAACCGAACCGCCGCCGCGCCTCAGAGCCCCGCCGCAAGGTGGCGCCAGCGAGCCAGCGCGCGCCGCCATGGCCGCGGTCCGGCCGTCTTCCTCCTCTCCATGGAGTGCTCCAGCGTCGAGTCACCCTTCTCTCTCTCCTCCGGGCTGGCGATTGTTTTCCCGGCGAGCCGGGCCGGCTGGCCGGCTGCCGGAGGCGGCGAAGGCGATAGAACCGTGATAGGGCACGGCGATAGCAAATGCCCGGGGACGGGGCCTCGATGGGGCCCTCTGCGGCGCACTGCGGAGCACTGCGGAGCGAGCCAGCACTGCGCAGCAGGCCGTCGTGGTCGTCGCGGTTATGACCGACCCGGAACCACGCGCACCGCCTCTGTCAGTGTGTGTGATACTGTGTGGCTGCGGTCATGTGTGTGTGTGTGTGGCTCCGAGAGTGTGTGACATGTGCTACACGGCATCTTGAGGAGGGCGATGCCTCCAAGTCGTGTTCCCGTGTCGTGTCCAAGTAGTGACAGTACAGAGACCCTCGGGCCACGAGCGTGTAGCCGTGTAGCGGTGTACTAGCGGCCCGCTGGCGTGCCGGGATGCATCTAGCATCATGCTGCCAGCGCTGCCAGCCTGGAGGACTGCAAGACTCTCCTCCGCGAGCCATGGTCAATTAGACTGCCACCCGGACGGCCCGTCCCGGACGCTGTGTTCCGGACGCCGTGTCCGGGACGCCGTGTCCGGGACGCCGCGTCCTGGAGCACTCCAAGTAGCGCTACTCGCACACCCCTTCAGCGAGGGGCGCGGCTCGGCTACTCGCCCGCGGGGGTGTGTTGTTGCGGTGCGTTGCTCTGTCTTCACAGTGCCTCACCATTTCTTTTCAGAGAGCCTCCAAGAGCTTTGCAGTGTTGCAGGGCGGTAGGCAGCGCCGTTGCAGGGGCGCGGTTCGGAGCGGCCTGCAGCGCGGCCTGCAGCCTGCAGAAGCACGCAAGCTTTTGTTTACGTGCCCCGGCCCACCCCGCCACCGCGACCGCCACTCCCCCCAGCACGGCCACGGCAGGGCACGGCCGGCACCACGATAGCGACGAGCTGCTCTCCGTCCTCGCCATGCAGCCATGCAGCGGTGCAGAGCAATGACCTAGGGGCGGGAGGGGGAGAAGAAAGGGGGAAGGGGAAAAGGGGGGGGGATGCAGGCGGTGCAGCGGTACCGGGCACTAGACCCGGCCCTGCCGCCGGCCCGCCAGTTCAAGAGGCGGCAGGCAGGCCACGGCAGGCGGCGGCCGGGGGGCCGGCGCGCCTTCCAGCGGGCCGCCCCGCCAGACACGCAAGCTCGGCGGGCTGGCCCACGCGCCAGGCGCCCGCCTCGCCCAGTCTCTCTCGCACTGGAGTATGCCTCTCGCGTGGGTGCGAGAGAGACAGTCGCTAGGAACGGGCCGCGTGGCCGCCGTGGCCGGCCGGCCGGGCCAAACAGGAAACGCACCGCGCGCAACGCGCCTCGCCTATCGATGCACCGCGGCAACCTTTAGCACGGGGAAAAGGTCGCGCGCAGCGCGCAGCACCAGTGTGGTGGCCGCCGGGCCGCCAGGCCGCGCGCTGCGTCAACATGCATCCCATTAGCGCGGTGGCCAGACCGCCAGACGGCGCAGCGCTTTCGTCGGCCTGTCTCTCTCGCACTCACGGGTCCTCCCGCAGGGCGCGAGAGAGACAACAACCTTGTTGCGCAGCGCGGTGGCCTATCGAGGGCACTCCCGACCCGAGGAGGTACCCGACGAGCGGCAACAGGTCGCGGTTATCGGCGGCGGTACTGCGTCGCTGGCTGGGCTGGCTTCGCAGCACGCAGCAGCCACTCTAGGCGGAGGCCCGCGCCACGCCAGCCTCTTTTGGCTGGAGTTCAAGAGCGATAACGGGCAATGGGCGCGGTCTTATCAGCCAGCCTGTTCCGCCAATCCCTCCCCGACGTCCCCGGCGTCCCCGGCGTGGCGTTACGTCCCCGACGGCCGAGCCGATCCGCGCGGTACACGCGATGGGACAGCGCCATTCCGAAGCCTCTGTCTCCGTCGCACTCACGGGGAGCCCCGTGGCGGAGCGAGAGAGACAGAGAATCCTGGGAGGGGAAGCGTCGCATCGCGCTCCCGTTTCACTACTATCTCCGAGACGCGGCGAGACGCGGCGAGACGCGGCGAGACGCGCGGACTGCGGCGGCGCTGACTTCCGGTCCGCACTGCCAACTCTGGCGAACGCCAAACGCCGCCAGGAAAGCGACAAAGCAACACGGCGACCCGACCCCACACGAGCAGGTGCACTCGCCGCGGTGACGCGCGCATTTTTAATCGGCCGGGAAATGAAGGACCGGCCGGCCGTGTCGTCGTCGAGGACGAGGCGCCTTATCGACAGGGTGCTCGGATCGATGTAATGCAATTCACACTGCGGGAAGGCGGTGGCGTGATGCAGGCAAGTTGACGCAACCCACCGCACCGACGCACAGTGGGCCAGAAGACCGTGGAGGCGGCCAAAACTCTAGATGCGTTTTGAGCTCCAGCGTCGCTAAATGGGACTCGAACCGAACGGGTGACCCCACCAATGGATTCCTCGTTCGGAGAGCAATCCATTGGTGGGGTCGCACGTTCGGTTCGAGTCCCATTCAGCGACTCTGGAGCTCAAAACGCGTCTAGAGTTTTGGCCGCCTCCACCGGTCTTCTGGCCCAATGTGCGACGGGACGGCCGACGGCGAAATGAAGAGGGAGTTGTGCCTCTGAGGGAGCGCTGCCGGCCGTGTCGTGTCGTGCCGTGTCAGGTCGCACGCCACACCGGCGGCCCCGGCTCGGCTCCTCGCCGCGGAGCGTACGCGGAATGCGTCTGACTCATTCCAGCCATCCCGGCGTTCCCCGGCGTCGGCGGGGCCGCGGCGGCGGGCCGGCGATAGCGGCTGCCTGACTAATGCCGGCGCAAATGGTGCAAGGCGTCTGTCTGTCTCTCTCGCACTCCCGCGGCCCTGCGGCGCGCCCTTCGAGAGCGAGAGAGACAGAGCGACGACAGCCTGCTGCGTCGCTGCTGTCGCTGCGGCCGGGGCACCTTACCAGGAAGCAGCGTCATGAAGGGCGATTTACTGCTAGGCACACACCGAGGGCCGGCCGCGTCGAGGGCCCTGTGCATTTACAAGTGAAACACACACACACTCACCCATGCACGGAGGGCACGTCAATGCTGTGCGAGGAGGCCCGCTTGCGCTCCGACCCGGTGCCCATGTCGGCCAGCCGGGCGAAGTCTGTGTCCGAGTCGGCGAGGCGGGCCGACTTCCTGGACTCGAGCAGGCGCACCTCGTCCAGGCGCTTCTTGAGGTCGATGGAGCCCTGCAACAAGCGCACACGCGTCGGTTAGAGAGAGACAGAGGGAGGGAGACAGTCTGCAGTGGCGAGCGCTACGCGCTGAGCGTTACAGCACCCGCAGGCGGGCGCCGTTGCGTTTCGCAACGGACATCAAGCGCAAAATCGGCGTGGCCGTGTCGCGCCGGGCCTTGCCTCGCCGCGGCTAGACGGGGGCCTAGATCCAGGCGAAAGTGAGACCGGGGAGAGGACCCGGCGGACGGGCGGACAGGCGGACGGACAGACAGACCGACCAGCCGGTGGCAGTGACAAACGCTGATTGCGGGCCACTTCCCACCCCCGGCACGGCAGGCACGGCAGGCAGCACAAGCAGGATGTCACAATGCAGTGGCGTCTATTCAGCATGTGCCGGCCGCAGCCCGGCAGACGGCCGGCCGGCCAGTCCTCGGCGTGCCCGCCAACCTGCCGGCCGAGCCGCCGAAACAAGGTGAAAATGGACTCGCGGGGCTGCATGTGCATGCTGTCGGCATGCTGCCTGCAGCCCGGGCTAGGCTAGCGAAAGCGCGCCGCGTATCTGGAAAGCGAGGTGCCGCGATGCGCGATGCGCCGCCGAGTGGTGTGCACTGCGAGTCTGTTAGTCTGCGCTGCGCGCTGCGCTCCGGGGTGTGATGTAAAGGCACATGGCATGCACCGGGCCGGCCAGGCGCGCCGCGCCACGCCACGCCCCTCGCTGGTATGTTTTTCCACGCACCGGATCCAGCGCTTTCTCTCCGCGCCAAGACGAAGACACCAGCATTACGACGGGGAGCTTCGCGTCCTGCAGACGCTGCAGACTGCACATAACCCCCCGCCGTGCTGGGAGAAACGGCCCTGCAGCGCTTCGCCGCTCTGTCTCTCTCGCACCCCTACGGAGCGGGCCGCGAGAGCGAGAGAGACGGGAGAGCGACGAAAGCCCTGGTTGCAATCGGGCCGGACTATTTCCCGCTGATTCACGTGGATTTCCAGAAGGCTGATTCCCGAGCGCGGCTCTCGTTGCTCTGTCTCTCTCGCACATGGGGCACCCCGTAGGGGTGCGAGAGAGACAGAGCGGCGAGAGCAGCGGTCGTCCATCACGAGCTGGTGTATCAGCGGCGTTGCCGTCGAAAGGTAAAAGGGCATTTGGTCCAGCGGCTAGCCCGTAATGGTAATGGTATGCGAGGTAGGCAACGCGCTGCGCTGCCGTGCGTCGCTGCTCCATGGCGGCCTACCTGCCGGGCGCCAAGGCCGGGCAGGGGCAGGGCGGCTGGCCGCTGGAGCCCGCACCCACCGGACTGGGACGGACCGCCCGACCTGCTCCCCGCATTCCTTGGCTGTCGCTACCGCTCCCTCAACGCCGTCAGTGACACGGAAGGACACGGCAGGACACGGCGGCCAGGCACGCGAGGACCGCGCGGCACTCATTAGCAGCGGCCCGGGACGCACGACGCTCGACGCGCACGTCTAGCGGGTTATGACGCCGCGTCGAGCCGTACGGGCCAGGCCAGGCAGGCCAGGCAGCCCAGGCTAGCCGCCAGGCAAGGCTCCGCCGATAAATTCCCTCCAGACAGACGATAAACATGGCGACGCGGCGGAGTGGCGGCGTGGCGGGGGAAGCGGGCGGGGAACCGCGTGCCGCGCCGCGCCGGGGCGCCGTTCATATAAACCAAACGCGTCGTGATGTGCCTGCCGGGCCTGCCGGGCCTGCCGGGCCTGCCGGGATGGCGTCGCGGCGCTGGTGTGGTGGGCCGCGCGGCTGCAGCTGCAGCCAGCCTGTCACTCTGTCTCTCTCGCACTCGCGGGGCGTTCCGCAGGGGTGCGAGAGAGACAGAGGCACTGGTGCTGCAGGCCGCGGAGCCGCCAGCAGAAATAGCCGCGGCCGAGGCTGACCCACATCGGCCGGCCTGGGCCTCGGCCTGGGCTGCACACAAGGGTCACTCGGCGGGGCGGGGCGGGGCGGGGCGGGGCGGGGCGCGGCGCGGCGGGGCGCGCGCGGATGCGCCTGCACGACGGCGACGCCTCAACGACCACGGTGTACTTCGCGGCCTTCCGTTATTCGGGGTCACACGTGCAACCGGCGCGGCCCTGCTTGCCTGCCTGCTTGTCTGCCTGCCCCCACCCGCCACCTGGGACTGGCCCCACCAGTCCGCGGCCCCGCCGGTCCCCGCCGGGGGCTCCAGCAGGAGTTTCCAGGTCGGCAGCTCGGCGCGGTCGAGGTCGCGGTTCCACCGCTTCTGGACCCACCAGGCCGGGCCACCAGGCCACCAGGGGCGCCGCGGGCATCGCGTCAGCAAGGGCGCTACGGTGCCCCCCACCCTTTTCCCGCGAGTCCTTCGCGTCAGCTTTCCTTCGCAGTAGCTCGTGTCAGCAGTAGCGCTCCACCGACAACGCCAACTAGTCCAGCCCGATACGCATGTGTGCGTGTGAGCTACACCGGAAGTCGCTCCCGTCCCCAGATAAAGTGCACCTCTGCCCCGCATTCGCCTCGCCGCGTTGCCGCCTCGCCGTTCGCAAAGCCCTTGGGACGCACGTGGAGCGGCGCGGAACCGGCGGGGAAGGGGGGGGGGAGGGGACGCGCTCCTGCGCCATGTAAATAAACGTGCTTCGCAATTACCCAATCGCCGAGGCAAGGCAGGGCGCGGCGGGCGAAGCGCGGCGCGGCACTCTGACGCTGCTCCTCCCACCACGCGAACCGCGAACTGCCGCCGCGCTGCTCCGCGCCCCGCCGCGCGCTGCCCTGGCGTTGCCGCGCCGTGTCGTCCCGGGCTGCCTGCCGCGCCGGCGTGCCGCACCGCGTCGCCGCGCCGGCCGGCGGACTCACTGGGTAGGCCTACACTGGTTGAGGCCGGGCGCGCCGCGGGCTGGGGTGGGGGCAGCCCAGCTGATAGCACGCTGTGCATACATTGCACGTGTACTCTGAACTTGGGCCATGGCGGCAAGCGGCGCAAAACATGACACATTCTTTTACAGCCAGCCTGGCAAAATTCACAGCCCGTCCGCGCCGCGCCGCTGGTGGCGCGTGGCGTGGCGTGGCGTGCCCTGCCACGCGTGCCATGCCACGCGCTGTGCCCGTGCCGGCCGGCCTGTGACGTCACTTGGCGGGCCGCGGCCTTGGTGCGCGCGCCCGCGCCGTGCTCGCGGGACGCGGCGGGACGCGGATGGCGCGGTATGGCGGATCCTCGCCCTTCTTCATCAATTGCTCCACGTCCGCCATGCGGCTCGCGGGCTAGACCGCCGCACCGCCGGCTGTAGCTGGCTAGCTGGCTGTTGTTGAGGGCGTCCAGGGCGTCCAGCGTGGCCGGCCCGTCCTGCCTCCGCCGCATCCATTGCGTCATCGTGCCACACGTGTCGTGCCAGCCCCGTGAGTCACGCTTGTTGTTGTTGACGCCGATGCTGGTGAAGTAGTTGTTGTTGATGTCGATTCGGTCTTGTGCGCCGCGCTGCGCCGCGCCTACGTCGGCGCGTGTTTTGCTGCTGTTTGTGCATACAGTGCGGTGGCAGGCGCGCGCCAACCCGAGCGGCGAGCCGGGCGAGCCGCTCCGACATGCGCACTTTACACTACACGTGGAGTGGAAGGACATCCACGCACACAAACAGAGCGACGCCAGCGACGCGCACCTGCGTGGCAGCGTGGCGAGGAAAACACACAGTACGCCACACACACACACACACACGGCGAGGCGGGTCTTTTAAAGGACGAGACCGGTGTGGCCATTTAAAACACGTTGACGGGGGAGGTCGGAGCGACGGCCCGCTCCGGTCCAGCACAGCCAGCACAGCCAGCCTGGTCCAGGCGACCCTCACGGCCAACAGGTGTGGCCGAGACCGCAGCCGGGACCGTGGCTAGCCGGCTTCCTCGTCACAGTCATTGTCGTTGGGGTTGAGGCTACCTCCTTCATGACACGGATCGCGGTCGGAGCAGCGACCAGGCGCGCGGAGAGGAGTTGGCTAAGCCCCACAACGAGCAGAGCGCCGACCGGCCGCGCGGCCACCGAGTGCCTGCCCCTGCCCGCCCTGCCCGCTCTCGCTCACGGAGCCTGAAAATAGTCCCGCCTACACTAGCGGGGCAGCAAGGGCTCCCCCACAAAGGTCGGAGCATAGAAATACACGAGCGCCGGCCGCTGCCAAATCCACCTGGTGTCGCGGCTTGCCGGCTAGATATACACCGGCATTGCATTATAAGACCCGACAGATGCTGCGAGCTCGCTGCCAGTGTGCTGCCAGCACGTTGCGGTGCTACTAAGAATGCAGCGGCAGCCGGCTCGCTCCTCTCTCTCGCACTCGTTGGCCGGGCCGGGGAGGTGCGAGAGAGACGGGGCGACGGAATAAGCCGGGCGTCGCCACGCCGGTCATGTCCGCGACGTCCGCGACGTACGTATCGGCCGGCCGGCCTATCACAGTGTATCACAGTCGCAACGCAAAAGCCGAGCCGCAGCGCCGCAGCGACAACACTGTGAGCGATAGCATCGAGTTAATTGACCGAGAGCTCCCCGCCGGACTGTGGCGGTCTGGCGGAGAGCGCCCATTTTTGTTGACTCTGCGCGCCACGGCGCTACGCGCTACGCACCCTATCCTGGTGCTGGCGCGCTGGCGCCTAGCTAGCACGCACAGAGCACGTGACACGTCGCGGACACAACACGGACACGGCAGTGGTGACGTCACGGCCGAAGCGCTTGGCCCTCCTCCACGACGCCACAGAGTGGCCCCCGCCGCCCCCCGCGGCCCCGCGCCTCTCGCCGGTTCGAAGGACGCCCGGCTAGAGCTGCTAGTTCGCTTGCCGGGCCGGGCCGGGGCCGGGCCGGGGCCGGCCGGCATGGCATGTGCGCGGCGCAGTTTGCCCGGCCGGCCGGTCTACCGCGGCCGCGCGCCCGCCGAGGCGCCAACCAACCATCATGGCTATGGCGGCAGAAAATCCATCCGCCAGCAGGGCAGAACCCGGCACCGGCCCGCCCGCGCAGCCCGCGCGGCCCGCGCAACGCACACTCCTGTTCCGCGTCGGCCACGGCCAGTGC